ATCACCGATCATTCACTTTTTCACGGAAATCGGCCAATTATGATCGGTGGCCGATCAAACGGCACACCTCTAATTTTAATGGCATATTTTATAAATTGTTGGCTCTGTCTCTCTACCAATTCCCGGTGATCTAAGCTTCCCGTGATTGTTTTTGACACCTTCCCACTGGTAAATGTTCTGGAGGTGAAGCTGTCACTTCTAGGCTTTTGTGTTGTCAAACCTCTTGACAGTTTTATTGTGTAGCAGGGATTCCTAAAAATTTAAATGACTGCCATTGAAGTGGTTGCACTTTTTGCTGCCTCTGCTGGCATTACACAGTCAAGTCTATCAGTTTTCCTCTGTCACCCAAATTTGTGGTTTGCTTCTCTTACATCTACTATATTAGAAGATGGGGAAAAAATAAAGTACGGTGTTACCTTGCCTGTAGGGAGTCCCAGTTTGTAAGTTGGACTGAAACAGCAGCCCAGCATCGTAGAACACACTCATACTGTCCTTTCCTCCGCCGTGTGTGCAGCCGACGTCGTGGCTCTCAACTGTGTCCCACACCTGAGGAATCAAAAAAGGCTCTCAAGACAAAATGTTATTAAAACAACTCTAAAAAAAAGAATGTTTAACACAGATGCTTTGGTTTTTAATGTACAGGCAGAACATGGTCAGTAAGCACTTTTCCTTTTCACTTTCTGCCGCCTCATTTCAGGAGAGAAGATCACCTTTTTCTGCGTCAGACGGTATTTCTTGTTAAGAGCGATGACGCCTTTGTCCACAGCCACCAGCCCCACTGTGGCCTCAGGATCTCCTGTGATTTTCAGGTCAAACTTCTTCCGAGGTTCGTAGGAGGTAAAGGCAAAATATCTCTGTGGCTCTAGTTTCAACTTAAGAGAAAACAGAAAAGAAATTTAGGTGTACACCAACTCAATGAAATTAAGTAAGAGACTTACCTATTTAACTACTGAAGCAATTATTTCCCTATTAGACTCACTATTACCATGTTCTAACTCCCACTGGTAAAAGATGATTCCCTATTTAACTTTTTGTTGTGCAAAAAAGAACTTAATACTAACCCAGGAATTACTCTCAAGAAATGTTTCTGTTTAATGTTTATTGTCCCCCCCAAAAAAAACAGAATATGATTTTTGGCCCTGGAATCAATTCAAAAATCTGAATTCAAATGGAAGAAATGTGTATTTTTACAAAATAAAAAAATCATAAATGCCTTTTTTTTTTTAGTAATGAAACAAAAAAAGAAAGTCAGAGCAAGAAGAGCATGCAGTAAGTGGCCAGGGGATGGGAACTGAACCTGGGACAGCTCCATTGAGGACCGTAGCCTCTGTCCCACCTGGTGCCCATCGTTGCATTGGTTTAATTTTCCCCCGTGAGCCCTGCTGCTGCACATTGCCTCACCGAGCCCATGCAGGAGTCCTTCACGTCCACCCAGACTGAGTCCGACACCACCTCGTTGTCATTGGGATGGTAGAAGGCCAGGATGCGGAATGACGGCAGCATCTCCTTGGTAACGGTGAATATCGTGGATATCATCGCTTGATCTTTAACTCTAAAGCGTCCATGCTTTATTAACTGACCTCTGCTCTGGATCTGAAAGTAGGAATAATAATAATAATTAAAAAAAAAAGACTGATCAGCTCTCTGTGGAACATTTATACTTCAGAAGTTCTTACTGCACACACACACACAAAAAAAAAACTTGCTCTCGCACCAAATATGTTACGTCATTTTCTGGGTTTTCCTGATTGTTGAGGCTTATAACCACTTTCATATCCTCTCCTGGGCTTACTTCTGCTGTTGTCACTCCTGCAGAGACGGTTTTGGTCATTTGTATAAAAGGGCCTTTATGCATAGTTAGATGACAGATGTAGTTTAGTGTTTACCGATGTAGACGTAGTTTTTGCTTGTTGAGCTATAAGGGAGAGCCGTCATGCTTGCCCATGCTTGTCGTTCAGCTGGAATTTGAGGATTTTGGGTTCTTACCTACATTTAAACAAACATAAAAAAACAAAATGAAGAAATATACATAAACATTGTTAATTCAGTAATTTAACTCTTAATTCAGTAATAGATATCCTGCAAGCGATATTATGTAAAAGAAGATTCTTTCCTTATTTAGGGAAGATTTATTTAAAACACTGTTGTCAGAAATGTGAGAAATGTACAAAGGCGTTCAAAGTTTATTTTAAATGTGAAGTCAGCATGCAGAATAGTTGTCTGCAGAGAAAATGTGAAACAACAAACATGCAATTCTATCACTTCTCAGAACTCATTTTATCTTTTTTTTTTTTTTTTTAGAACATGATAGAAGTATAGAATCACACACATGAACAAGGAATGCAAAAAAACACTCCAGGACTTACTGTGATTTTTAACGGTCCAGCGTTTTCCACCGTATTGATTGAAAGTCTTGCCATGCCGTTGGCAGAAGTAACGCCTTCAACCTCAGCTTCATCGATCGCAACAGGAACTCCTTGTGCTGAAGTGCCGTCGGGATTCAGAACCTCAACCTTTCAAGAAACAATCAGACAAAGATCAATCGTATCTGACAGAGATGTGTGTGTTCATACATCCGTACAGAAAAGTGAAGAAAGAGGATGTTTGAAGAATATCTTTGGATCAATTAAAATGCATTCAGCTCTAAATTGCATGAGCAAAAGTTGATAAATAAATTTCACACAGTGAGATTGCACGTCCTGCTGACTGCACATGCTAAAGTGATCCTGACTGCCATAATTAAACAACGACTTTGCGTGTTCATCACGGTGAGCGTCAGAGAGTGCTGTCTAAGAAAGACTAAGTTTGACGGTGTGGAGTTGAAGGTGTAATATTCATGACAATCATACATTTTCTTTAAACAATCATCTCAGTGATATAACACAAAATCTCCAAACAGCTATATTTGCTCTCCCACTTCATCTGTCCAATCGTACCTCAAATCTTCCTGTGACTATTTGGAGTTAAGGGATTTTGATTACTTCACCCAAACATTGCAAACCAAGCCAAGCCCATAATAGTTTATTGCAAAATAAATGTGTTTCATGGCGGCCTGCAAAGGAACTTTAGGGGGGAAACTTATCTTGCGCATAGGACAGATCTTTTTATTTGTTCTACCTTCAGTATCCCTTTGGCTTCATGATGGTTTTCCGGTCTACTTCTTAAGTTTAGTCGTGGTGTTTTGTTTTTGGTTTAACTGCAGATATATTGTCAGCATTAATCTGACATTTGCCTGCACAATTTTCTGGAAGATGCAGCAGATAAATATAATGTCCATTGCCTTTTCTGGGCTTTACAGACACACTCCTGCAAAGAATCCAGACATAAACCATGGAGCTGCCATGAAGTGATAGTGTGTTGGGATTATTCTGTAGCATCCTGCAGCTCAGAGTTGGCATTGCTGCGGGATGTTACTCGTCTGTTTCTATTTCTTAAATGCGCCAAATAAATGGCAAGCGATGTTCTCCGTCATTGTGTCTATGCCGTCTCTTCGCCACGGTGACGGCAGGCGTTTTTGCTCACCAGTTTGCACCTGCTTTTCAAATGAGCTAAAGACAGACTCAAAAACAGCACCCGCGCAATCTGGTGCAGTTTTAACAAATTGCATTGCGGGTGGTAAGTCATTGCATCTCCTCCTCCCAGTATCTTGCGCTAAATTTAGACACGCTAAATTTATTGCGACTGTGATGTTGGTCATTTTGCAGAGACAATCCTGTTTGTGTGCGTGTGTGCTGTCAAGTTTGCACTTATTGTTGAACATGCAAACCTTTTAAATAACAGGGTCATGTTTGTATCACACTTCACAAAGGGATTTGCTTAGTCTTTAAGTAACCACAGCTGTAAATCAGTCATGAAACTAAGATAATTGACAGTTAGTCTTTATATGCTTAAAAAACAGAAAATCTTACCGCAAAATCAAAAGATAATCCTGGTTTGAAATATTTGGGAGATTTGGTGAACTGGATGGTATAAGGTGACGTGACAATATAAATGTCTCTCAGTTCTGCCTCCACCATCTCACTACCTGTGGAGATAAAATCAAAAACTTTTGGGTTTTCACTTTATTGTTTTACAGCAGCTAGGACAGCCAATGCAGCTTTGCATGGCCGAAGGACATAACTTAACAGATAAACCGGCATGTTGTCACTATACAGTTTTAAAAAACAAAGTTTTTTAAGTTTAGTCATGTTTTTGTTTGGTTTGATTTAATTGCTAAAATGTTCCAATTTTATACTACAGAACAAAGACAAGTACAAAGAAAAATAAAAAAACAAGGACTGTGATGATGAGAAACTTGATGAGATGCAGACTTTGATTTAATAAGTCGGCTTTCAGGACTCCTTTTATTGAAACAGTACGTATGTATCCATATGTATAGCTATGGCTTACTTGCAGAAGCATAAATCGATTCATGTTTCTTTTAAATTTAAGATAAAAACAATAAAATCTTTGCCTGGACTTAGTCTTAGAACAGAGTTTGCCTGTTCTCTTGGTGCATGTGTCGGTTCTCTCCGGGTTTTCCAGCTTCCTAAAAACAACGTTAGGTTGACATTTTGAAAATTTCCCTTGAGTGATAATGTGTATGTGTTTGGCTCAGTGCCACCCTGTAGGATGAGCAGGCAGATGAATTTTGTAAGATGAATTTACTGGTTTATTTTATATTTATGGGTTTAGTTATTAATTGTACTGTGGCATATACAGAAGTTGTTGGTGACGTATTTAAATTGAACCTTCAAATTCAAATGTATTACTTTTCTCAGGGTATAAACTATTTATCTTTTAATACAATAAAGAGCTTTTATTCTCATGTTGTTTTTCTCCAAATAATGAAAGTCACAGAAAACTGTAAACTGACTACCACAGTTTTGTGACACTGATCCCCACCGACCTCTGCTTCTCTTACCGTCGCTCGTCAGCACGCTGACCGCCACAAATATGGAGCTGCCCATAAGATCGGTGAAGTTTTCAAAGCTCTGAGTAATGTGTTCTCTCTTCAGGGTCACCACTCCTTCTCCTCTCTCGATCTAATGTCACACAACGCAGGTTAACTTTAGAGTTTGGTGTTGTCACACATTTACATCTCATTTACACTCACAGGCAACTGTAGTATCTAACCACACAGCTGCAACTCAATGTATTCACCAACAATGTCAGTGGTTTGTTACATTCCTAGCTGTTTGAAGACATCCAAAAATTAGAAAGAATGAACTCCAGTGAAAATGCTTCCCATTCTTACGAGCTAGTTTCAAGTTAGTAACTGGGGCTTTGTTTAAAGAAGCAAAGTTTTTCCACAGTGTTTCCATGACAACTTTCCAGTTTTAAAGTGCCGTACTTAGAAAAAGGTGAGATTTCATCGGTACAAACTGTCTGTTTCACAGACATAAAGCCAAATGCAACAGAAAAATAACTGAAGGTAAAGACCTACCGGCACTCTCTGAAGTGAGCTGGGGAAACTCTTCTTTTGATTTTGATGGACAACTCCAAAAGCTCCATATGCAGAGCCTTCTACATCTTCACCAAACATGTACCTGAAATCAGCAGGAAGGCGCTATTAATCGTATAAAGTGTCTTCTTGTCACCAATCAGTAATTAGGACAATTTAGATCAATTGAACCATC